AGAAAGAAAGAAGGAAAGAAGAAAGAAAGAAAAAGAGAGAGAAAGAAAGAAAGAAAGAAAGAAAGAAAGAAAGAAAGAAAGAAAGAGAAAGAAAGAGAAAAAAAAAGAAACACAACATAACAAAACAAACAAACCCCAATCCAGTGTCCTTCTCTCAGCCCCCACTTAAAAAATCCTTGTTTCTTACCACTTCCTGTCAGCTTCTTGCTGACTCAGCCTTCCTGCTCATAGGTTAATTTTATTTAATCAAACACATCTTTAAATTGTTAACAAAAGCAGTAGGGAAAAAAATTCAACACACTTTATAATAATATTCCCCAACCCTAGCAAGTGCTTTAAACCACGGAGCCACTTTTCCAGGCCCTCAAATTGGGGGCTGGAATACAAAATGCTTTTGGAGGGGCTGAAAGATGGCTTAGGGATTAAGAGTATGTACTGCTCTCTCAGAGGACTAGCATTCAGATCCTAACACCCCCATGAGACAGTTCAAAATGCTTGTAACTCCAGCTTCAGGAGATACAACACCATCTTCCGGCTTCTGTGTGCATTGTACTCTGTGTGCATTGCACTCATGTGTATGTGCGAAGTGAGTTTAAAAAGACAATCATTTCGCGAAGTGAATTAAAAAAGACTTAATCATTTCTTCACGAATTGATGAGAACATCAGCAGCAGATACAAACCCTCATCATGTTTAGAACTAATCAAAATGTGGCTTTAAAAAAGGTTGAATGTTAACTCATTTAGTTAAAACAACTTAAATAATTTTTGGAACGTATCATTCTAAATATAGAACACCAAAATGTAAAAACGAAGGCAATATAATTATATTTCAGTATATAAAACACATAATTGTTGAAAGCAGGCAACTGATTACCTAGCAGAATAATTTGTTGTTTTATTTGTTTCTCATTGATCAAGGAAGCCTGGAAATGGCTCCCAGTGGTCTCTTAATTCCTAGTATTGGTGACCTTCGGTAATTCGATCACCTTGAGCGAGCCAGATCTAGTGACTCATTTCAGATTGACAAGAATAGGACAAAAAATGATGAGCGAGCACTTCTGAGGCTGGAGGCGGCCTCCCCACCTTACGCTGCCGTCTGTTTTCTTGGCCAGTTGTCCTGTTCCGGTATCCTATGGGATATTTCGAAACAGTGCAAAACTATAACCCCTTGGGAAGATCTCGAGTACGCCACCAGCATTCAACCCACCAGGCATATTATACCTGAGAATCAAGCTCCATACATCATCAGATCGATTTCTCCCACATTTTCCAGATCTATGCATCCCACTTGCAACCTTACACTCCCCTGCACGCCCATCAGCTCTCCTGGCGCGACAGTGACCTAACGCGACTCTCCTCCAACCTTCAGCTTCATTCTTCAAGCAGACGCCAAGCTACAGTGACTGCGACCTGCGTTTCACCCTCCTACTCTGCTCTCCATGCCCACGCAGGTCTGTCCTCCTCTTCTGGCACCGGCCGACTTCTTCATCTTCGACCAGTGTGGTCCTGCCACCCTAACTCCCTGCTCCAGACTCTCACTTGGCACGTCACGGGGACCGACCAGGCGTGCCTTACCTCCGTGTGGACTGCGCTCTACGCAAGCGAAGAGGGTCCTCCAACCCCGACTGCCGAGCGTACAAAAAGCTCAACATCTCGGTCCCACTCACCGGCTGGAAGCCTCGGAGCCGCCATGACACAACCGGGACCGGGGGGTTGTAACAACGGGGTCTCCTATTGGCCAAGCCGTGAGAGGACGTGAACCCACGGAGAGCGACTTTACTGGGAGGCGGGCGAACGCGAGTCAGAGCAGGGGGCGGGGCTCGGTGTGGGCGGGGCCTCCCGGCCGGCGCGAGCCCGGGGGACCTTGAGCTGCGCGGCGGCGGCGGCGGCATGGGCTGGTGGCGGGGTCTGCTGCGCTCGGTGTGGGGCTCCCTGTCGAAGGAGGTGAGGGAGCACGTGGGCACGGACCACCTGGGGAACAAGTACTACTTCATCGCCGAGTACAAGAACTGGAGAGGTGAGAGCGAGAAGCGGCCGCGGGTCGCTGCGCGTCCCGGGCAGGTGGCTGTCACTGCAAATCTGGGGCCGGGCCTCGGGTGTCCTGGCCCCTGTCTGTCCCGGGGTGCGAGGGCTTGGTCGTTGCCTTGGGCGACGAAGTCTGGACCGAGTCCTCCAAGATCTGCCAGAGGGGTTTGGGGAGCATCGGGAAAGACTTGGCGCCGGTGCCCAGCCTGGTCTTTAGCTCCCGGCTGTCCTCAGAGTTTACCTTTCCCAGTGGCGCTGGGGCTGGGGCGCTCGCCCTGTTTGTCGCCATCCTTGAAACTAGGAACTATCCAGACACACTGATCTTTTCTAATTAGCAGTTCCCGTTTCTTTTCCAAGGAGTCTGTGTCCCAAGACCCTGTGCAGGTCGATTTCAGAAACATCTCTAAAGATATTTTCAAGAAGTGGAGCGTGTTGTTTGGGGAGTGCTCCATTTTAGCCAGACAGTGGTGGCACCTACCTTTAATCTCAACACTCTGGATGCTGGGGCAGGGGGATCTCTTGAGTTCGAGGCCAGCCTGGTGTACAAAGCGAGTTCAAGGACAGTCAAGGCTGCACAGAGAAATCCTGCCTCGAAAAACAAAACAAACCAACAAGAAAGGAGGTGTTGCATTCTTTTTTTTTTTTTTTTTGACAGCATGCCACATAGCGGCTTTCACAATGTCTTCTATTTTTCTCTATTGCTCCATTAGAGGGTCTCAGACGTGGGAGAAGAAAGAAGTTAGGGTAGACCCTCAGCTCTGACTGAAGTAGCTGAGAGACAAGTCGTTTATTCTCACCTTGTCCCAGTGGTCTTACAGGAAAGAGATAGTAGTAGTGTCACTCCTGGGACACTTGAAGACCCATCCGGCACTGTTTCGTTCACTTCTCACACTTATTAACTATGTTAAATGTTTATAAAATTGTCTTACTTAGCTTTTAAAAGGGTTTTTTAAATTTTATGTTGACTGCCTGCATTTATGTGTGCACACTACATGCCATAAAGGTCAGGAGAGGACGTCTCCTGAAGTGGAGTGAAGGGCGGTTGTTTAGCCACCATGTGGGAGATGGGATTTGAACCTGGGTCTTCTGTTAGAGTAGCAATCACTCTTAACCTCTGAGCCATCTCTCCAGACTCTGCTTAGCCCTTTTCTATAACTTACAACCTTGGACTTTTTTTTTTTTTTTACCCACTGAGCGTTTAAATATGCTGCCCCTGCTTCATGTACCTAGACAACCACTGATCTGATTTTTGACTCGATGGATTGATTGCTCTGCATTTTCTACAAATTTTTATAAGTGAAAATATATAGTAACTCTTTAGGTTTCTTTCTGGGTTCTTAGGATAATTATTTTGAAATTCACCCTCCTGTGTACCAAAATTGTAACCCTATGCTAGTGTTCCAGTGTGTGGAATGTAGTGTAGTTTGCTTAACCATTCACCTGTTCAGAAATCTTTGGATTATTACCAGTTTAAGGCTGTCACAAATGAATTATTAGCATCCATGTAGATAAGGCATTGTATAGATATAATGCTTTCAGTTCTCTTTTTAAAAGGTCTACAGGGAGAATGGCTGGACCAACCGGTAGGTGTATGCTTCACTTTATAAGAAACAAAGTGACCGTGGTGGTGCTTGCCTTTAATCCCAGCACTCAGGAGGTAGAGGCAGGTGGATCTCTGTGAGTTCGAGGCCAGCCTGGGCTACAGAGATAGTTCCAGGACAGCCAGGGCTACACAGAGAAACACTACCTCAAAAGAAAAAAGAAAAGAAGGGAGGGAGGGAAGAAGGAAGGAAGGAGGGAAGGAAGGAAGGAAATAAATAAATAAATAAATAAATAGACAAAATGATGTTACCAAGCTGGATGTGGTGGTGCACGATTTTAATCTCAGCACTCTAGAGGCAGAGACAAGCAGACCTCTGTGAGTTCGAGGCCAGCCTGGTCTACAGAGCAAATTCTAGGGAGGCCAGGGACACACAGAGAAACCCTGTCTCCAGAAACAAACAAAAGTAAATGATATCATTTTATTTCCCCACTGGCAATGCTGGAGGGTTCATTTTCTTCATGTTAGCTAATTAGTTGGTACATAGTGATAGCTCAGTTTTTTCTTTATGTTCATTTTACTGCTAATAAATTGTTTTGTTTTGTTTTGTTTTCAAGGACTAAGGAATGGCTTGTGTTATAACACTTGTTCAGCAGATATGAGGAGCTGAGTTTGAATCCCTAGCACCTATGTAAAAAGCTAGACATGGCCATGTGTAAGCTAGGCATGGCTGTGTGTAAGCCAGGCATGGCTGTGTATACCTGGCAACCCCAGCATTTCAGGAACAGACAGGCAGCTCTGAGGGATGGGTGGTGGATGGCCAGGCTTCCTAGCCAGTAGGCAAGTTTCCAACTCAGAGACAGTCTCACGGTAATAAGGTTGAGAATATAAGGAAAACACCTGCTATTCAGCTCTGGCCTCCACATGTGTGTGCACAGGTGTGTGCACTGGCACACTCAGGTTCGTGTAATGCACACAGCACTCACACACAGCACAAACTTTCTCCAGATTCAAGTGCTATAAATTGGTACACATTTCACATTTGACCTGTCAGAGATTCATCTGACCTCATCACAATCAGGATACAGAACAGGTTACTACCTTCAATATCTCCCGCATGCTAATCCTCAGAAGTTATTCTTTCAGTTCATAACCTTGGTAGCTGATTGTTATGTTAATTATTGTTCTGTCTTTTTGAGACTATTACACAGAGAGAGTCATACCATATGTAACTTTTTGAAAATGGCACCTTCTATTCCTCATCATAATGCCTTTGAGAGTCATTGTATGTATCAGTGGTTTGTTTTTTTAAATATATACTGTAGTTTGTGCATTTACCCACTGAAGACCATTTGGGATGCTGCTGCCAGCTCTTGGTGCTTGTGGATAGAATTGCCATAAACATTCACGTATAGGTTTTCCATGAACTTTAGTTTTCATTTCCCCAGAGGCATGGCTGATTTTTAGCCTTTTTTATCACTTAATTTCCGTACAAGCTCAGTAGCTCCAACTTGCTCTGTAAAATGTAAATAAAAAAGTACTTACCTGGCTTTGCAAGACATTTTTGGAAGTCAAGAGAAATAAATTAGATAATGTCTTCTTTAGAGAGTGAGATTTGATGTCACAGTCTGCTTGAGCTGAATTTGGACTTGGTTCTTTGATTTCTTTTATGTCTTGTAGTTTTCAGCATAGGGAGTGTACATGTATTTTATTTGTTTAGAAGTTTATTCTGTTTGATATTATAAAGGGTACTTTTTTATTGTTTTGTTTTTTGTTTTCTTCTTTGAAGCAGCCTCCCTATGTAGTTTCGGCTGGCCTGTAACTCACTGTGTAAACGATCGTGGCCATGAACTCAAAGAGATCCACCTGCCTGTTGTTGGTTGGTTTTGCTCTTTTGAGGGGCCCTGCCACTCAGCTCCCAAATAAATCACCCGAGGAGGCTTATTCTTAATTATAAATATCTGGCCTTAGCTTGGCTTATTGATAGCCAGCTTTACTTAAATTATCTCTTCTAGCTTTTGCCTTTGAGCTTTTACCCATCTCTATTTCTCTGTGCCTTTCATTATTTCTTACTCTGGCTTGCTGTGCAGCTGGGTGGCTGGCCCCTGATGTCCTCCTCCTCTGGCTACTTCTTTTCCTCCCAGATTTCTCCTTCTATTTATTCTCTCCACCTGCCAGCCCTGCCTATTCTTTCTCCTTCCTTGCCATTGGCCGTTCCGCTCTTTATTAGACCACCAGGTGTTTTAGACAGGCACAGTAACACAGCTTCACAGAGTTCAACAAATGTAACATAAACAAAAGTAACACACTTTAAAGTAATATTCCCAACACCTGCCTTTGCTTTTCCAGTGCTGGGATTTTTATTTGGCTTTACTTATTTGTGTGTGTGTGTGTGTGTGTGTGTGTGTTCCTATAAACAGATATCTGTGTATGGAAACCAGAGACCAGTGTCAGCAGCTTCTTCAGGCACTGTCTACCTTGTTTTTTGAGGCACGGTCTCTTGAACCCAGAGCTCTGATTCAGCTGGATTGGCTGGCCAGCACGCCCTAGGGATCTTCCTGTCTCCACCTCCTCAGCACTAGGATTACAGGTACATGCTACAGAGCTGACTTTTTACGTGGGTGCTGGGGATTTGAACTCAAGTCCTCACACTTGGACAGCAAGCACTTTACCCATGAAACCGTCTCTCTGAAGCAGCTTTAAAAATTCCCTTTGTAAGCTTAATAGTTCCTCGCTGTTCTCTGTTAGCCCAGAGGTTCTTTTCTTAAGTGGATCTTGAAACTGTTTTCTCGCATGAGCTGAAATGTATGGACTGACCTTTTAACATTAATATTTACTTGTTTATTTGGTTTGTGTACATGTGTGGGCATGCCCATGCCACAGTGCACTTGTGGATGTCAGAAGACAGCTTGGGATGTCAGTTCTCTCCCTCCACTTTGTGGGTTTGGAGGTTCAAACTCAGGTCGTCAGGCTCGGAAGCAAGTACCTTTGCTTTTGGAACCATCTAACTGGCCCTGGCTTCATTTTTAGACCTGTTTTAGGCTCACGGAAAAGCTGAATGGAAGCTCCTAACAGCCTTTCCCCTCCCCCACTGTGCCATTGCCAGCGTCCTGCATCGGGGTGTGCCCCATTCTCTCCCCCATTGACTCTCTACTGTCCTGGTAGTTTTACCCTTTCAAGATGCCATAGAGATGTAACTATGTAGTATATCGCCTTTTTAGACGGGCTTTTCACTTAATAATATGCTTTCACATCGTTTCCTTTTGGCGTGTGACATAGTGGTTCTCTTCCTTCCTCTCTTCTTTCTGTTGATTATGTGTTGAACTATGTTGATTGACTTTTCAACATTAGTAGACTTCATTTTTGTGTATTTATTTCGAAGTTTTGGCTGTTTTAGATTTTATTTACATTTATTTTATGTGTTTGGGTGTTGTGCCTGTTTGTACGTCTGT